GATTTTTAATGTAACCCCTAGGATGATCTCATATTGAATGGGTTTTTTGTAGGGTATGAAGATTAGCGGAAGATGATCTTCAATTCATAGAAAAATCCACCAAATTTGAGATCCACCTATAGGTCACATTTGGAATCTTTAATCCATGGAAAATTCGTCTTTAACCAAATAGTATGAAGTTCCTAGAGAGCGGATCTTTTATAGGGTTTAAAGATTTGTGGGTTATAGTCTTCAATCTCTTATGAAGTTCGTGTCATTGGGTTGGACGCGGTTTTGTCATCGATTTGTGATTTATTTCCTAGTATTCTGTGGTTTGTCATCTAAATGAGTGAACTTTCCAGAGTTTGAAGGTTGGTGGGAGACAACCTTCAATTCTCTTTATGGAATCCATACTTTTTGGAGAGACTAGAGAGTCAAATTTTTCTTGTCTTAAAGATTCATAACGTAACCCCTAGGTTGATCTCATATTGAATGAATTTTTTGTAGGGTATGAAGGTTAGCGGAAGATGATCTTCCATTCATAGAAAAAATCCACCCAATTTGAGATCCACCTCTAGCTTACATTAGGAATTTTTAACCCATGGAAAATTAGTCTTTAACCAAATAGCATGAATTTCCTAGAGAGCGGATCTTTTATAGGGTTTAAAAATTTGTGGGTTATAGTCTTCAATCCCTTGTGAAGTTCTTGTCATTGGGTTGGACGCGACTTTGCCATCCGACTTTGCCATCGATTTATGATTTATTGCCTAATCTTGAGGGGTTTCTTATCTACTTGACTGAACTTTCTATAGTTTTTGAAGGATAGTTAGGGATAATCTTCAATTCTTTTTACATAATCCATACGTTTTGGGGAGAGTCAAAATTTCCATGTCTTAAAGATTTCTAACGTAACCCCTAGGTTGATCTCTTATTGAATGGTCTTTTTGTAGGGTATGAAGATTAGCGGAAGATGATCTTCAATTCATAGAAAAAATTCATCCAATTTGAGATCCACCTATAGTTTACATTAGGAATCTTTAATCCATAAAGTATTTGTCTTTTACCAAATAGTATGAATTTTCTAGAGAGTGGATCTTTTATAGGGTTTAAAGATTTGTGGGTTATAGTCTTCAACCCCTTATGAAGTTCGTGTTATTGTGTTGCACATGGTTTTGCCATCGATTTACGGTTTATTGCCTAATCTTGAGGGGTTTGTTATCTAACTGAGTGAACTTTCTCGAGTTTTTGAAGGATAGTGAGGGATAATGTTCAATTCTTTTTAATGTAATCCACACGTTTTGGAGAGAGTCAAAATTTCCATGTCTTAAAGATTTCTAACGTAACCCCTAGGTTGATCTCTTATTGAATGGGTTTTTTGTAGGGTATGAAGATTAGCGGAAGATGATCTTCAATTCATATAAAAAATCCACCCAATTTGAGATCCACCTATAGGTTACGTAAGGAATCTTTAACCCATAGAATATTTTTCTTTAACCAAATAGTATGAATTTCTCTTTCCAAGAGAGCGGATCTTTTATAGGGTTTGAAGATTTGTAGGATATTGTCTTCAATCCCTTTTGAAGTTCATGGACACGGTTTTGCCATCGATTTATGAATTATTGCCTAATTTTTGTGGTTTGTACACCTTTTTCTTATTTGTAAAATTTTTTCATCATTTTTGTCACCCGAGTCACTTCAACTGGGGCTTTTGTTTGGGAAAAAAATTAGAAAAAATTTAGATGGGAAATACTTTTAAGAATCGCTTGCACGAGGGTTAACCTTTCTCATTTGGGAAGGAGGCCTAAATTTTTTATTACCTCCAAGGAAAGGATTCCACTTTACACGCGATCCTCTTGAGCCCAAGAAGACTGCTCTACTAGGTTGGTATTAACACCTATAAGAGATTTTTTGGAAACATTTGAAGACAGACCAGAACCCATGTAAAAACCTACCTGCATTGTCCTGTCAACAAGTTTATTTTTCTTTGGTATGTTTTAGTTTCCATGTCCATCATCTCCCTAGATTCGTGTTTTCTCTTATGCTTCAAATAGTGTCTAAGATTAATTTTCATTAGGTGTGTTTCCATTTCAATATTCTTCAATATCTCATCATTCATAATAGCGGATGCCCTTTTTTTCTTCCTTCCTAATTTACTTACCAATTGAAGTTTGGTTGCAGTCTTATTTGTATTGGAAATATGAGGGATATTTATGTATAAGATTCTGCTTCGAAGCTACTCAGTCTGTCAAGGTAGCATGTTCTTCATTTTGGTTAAATTTTTTTTTGTCTCAGGTAAAAAGATAATGTTATGGAGTTTCTCTTTTGCATGTTGGGATATTGATGGTGGCCGTTGGAATTTTTGTCCATCCCTCAAATATATTTGCTCCAAAATTTTTATTTCGCTCTCTCAAATTTGCCATTACAGCCTCTTTTCTCCGTTCGAAATTTTGTCCATTTCTTAAACTATTGCTTTAAAGAATTTTTCCTCTTACTGAACTTTTTGTTGTATGATTTTTTAAAAGCTGTTTTTGAAAATAAAACTTGTTTTCTAAATTTATTGTACTTTCAAGTATTTTTTCTCTGTAACATTTGAAAGCAATTTTTAAAATGATTTTTGGAGTAGTAGATGTGAGGTGAGTTTAGGAAAATTAATTGATCGGAAATTTTCCTGTTTCACCTTATTGCCTACACTAATTTTTTTTAAGTTTAATTTTTATTTTCCATGTCGACAAAATGAGATTGATACATTCTCACAATCAAGTTTACCATTAGTAAGTCCCTTTTGGGTCATCTGATAAAAAATTTACCATTACCATTAGTAAGTTTTATATAATATGTCTTAACTTTTAACATTGTGTTTCAGATGGATGATGGTTCAATCAACAAACCTATTGGTGCTTCGTGTACGGTGAACAAGATTATTTTGTTCGAGGACAGTTGTAGTTTGAGGGCTTAGAGAATTGCAAATAATTGGGAGTCAATTAGGCAAATATGGATCAGTATGCTACTCTTCCCCGTATGCTGTATTCTTTTATCGTTTTCATTGCCTGCAAACTTTATTATAAGGTGGTGTGGGACTAACTCAGGTATAGAAGTTATTTTTTATCCCTTCCTCCAGAGAAAAAAGTTTTATACTCTGTTCTTATTGCATTTATGTTTTTCTAACTCAGCTTGCGGGGGAATTCTGCACTGCTTTGACAATGACAGTGATATGAAAAATGCTAGGAATATTGGCAGTGAGTTGGAGGGTATATCATTAGCTTTATTTTCTTCAAATATTGATTAAGGAAAGAGTCGTCGTGATTATTTTTTGAATCCACTTGCAATGATATTTTTCTAGTTGCGTCCACTAAATGACATTTATAAATTCTTGCCATAAAATTTATCATTAGTTTTGTTTTATTGGCATATATGTGATGGTGGATGAGCAAAAAAACCTAGTGTTCAAGGCATGCTGAGAACTTGTTAAAATTGCAAAATATCTAGGAGCCAATTAGGCAAATATGGATCAGTATGAGTTGATTGGGGAACCAACTTTACCTTACCTTGAATTCCATCATGTCATTTCTTCTTCTCTCCACTGTTTATAGGATTGGTAATAKTTACCTGGATGCCATTGGCAATTATATTATCAAGAGGTCTGGCTCTGACTAAGGTGCAGAAGTTACTTTTTCTTTCCTTACTTTTTCAAAATATGATTTTTTGTTTTGTTTTGAGTATCATTACTAGGAGTAGTAGTATTTGCTGAGTTGAAACTATGTTTCATTTCTTTTTTCCATTTATTCCAACATCGATCAAAGAAGGAAAATGATTTTAGAAACTTAAAAAAGTCGTGGTACTAGTTTTCTATTTTTGTACAATTATTTCCATACAATTTCATTTATCCTCTGAAGCATCGTATTTTGTGATTTTTAATTCTTATAATGTTTGTTTATATGATTACTTTTGCTTTCAGTATTATCCTTTCATTACTATTTCAAAACATGATTATTTTTTTGTTTCGATCCTAATCACTATTTCACAATTTAATCGAACTCTTTTTTCTAATTGTCTCATATGCATCGTTGAAAAGTTCTAATCTTTTTTCAGTCCAGCACTATGTATGTTTCTTTCTTGGGGATTGTCGTGCATCACCTATGTCCTAATGGTAGGTTTGATGTAGCCAAAGTTTTCATTTATCTTTGCAGTATATCGAGTTTAACGAACTGACTGTGGAGGGTTTCTTACTAATAAAGAAACCCAATAGTTTAGTGGCAAAAATAGATAAATGACAGACGAAAATCCATAGCAAACTAGCCATTATTTTTTAAAGCAACACATACGCCTGCATGTTCATGATTGCCATTTTATGTTAATGATTGCCTTCTTATTCTTTCAGGAATGCAACTTCCAAGGACAGCATGGAACGTGGAAAGATTATGTTCTTCTGATTGAATTTCTTGAAGTTGATTTGAAGGTGAAGAAGTGATAATACTCTGGCACAAAAATCTATTTTGTTCGATTACTCAGATTAGTGGTTTTTCACAATTCATTGCCCAAAACCTTGTTTTGGTCCCCTTTGCAGACTCTGGTGAGCTCTCAAACTCCTAATTGATTTGGCAAACATGGAAGTTTTACATAATTTATATATATGCATGGAATACCAGTAAGCTCCCTCATTCCTTCCCTATCTCCTCTCTCTTTCTCCTTGTCCTCCCTCCCTCTCTTTTTTCCTCCCTTTCTCTCCCTGCTCCCATCTTTATTTCCCTTTCCCTCTCCCTCTCTTTCTGCCTCTCACTCTACCTCTCCTGCTTCCTCTCTTTCTCCCTCCTCTCTCCTTCCCTCACCCTACCTCTCCTACTTCCTCTATTTCTCCGTCCTCCCTCCTTCCATTCCTGTTATTCGAGTGATAATTGGAGTATTGTGTTTAAATGTTATTTGGTGAGGAGGATTTTTTTTTTTTTTTTGGTTAGAATTGTCCCTTAGTTGTTATGGTTATTATTCAAGGCTTGTATATTAGGTTTTAGATGAGAATGATATGAATATTTTTCTTTCCATTTATTGTTCTAATACCTATCTCCTCTCTCTGTCTCTTATCTTTATTTGTGGTTGGCTTGTTTGTTGATTGCTTGTTTAGTGTTTTCTTTATGTCGAGGTGTCTTGCCAAAATCTCTTCCAATAGCAACCAAGCTATTGAATCCACTTCTCCTCCCTTTCTCTTTCTCTTTCCCTCCTGCTCTTCTTCCTTATCTCCTCTTTCTCTCACTCCTTTTGTCTACCTGTCTGTTAAATTATTATTTTTTGGGGGGATGAGGGGATGGGGTAGGGTTGAGTCTACAGAGTTAGTGTGAAAGGTCTTCATATAGTCCGTAGCTACAATTATTGTTCTTGCTTCTTCATTTGTTGACTGTTTTTGTTATTCTTCATTTGTTGCGAAAGGTCTTCATATAGTTACAGTCTTCTAGCTTCTTGTTGTTACTTCTTTGTAGTTMGTGTTTTTGTTATGTCTCTTGTCCCTCCCTTTTCCCTATCTCATTTCTCTCTTTCTCGTTGCCCTCCATCCTTCTCTTTTTTCCTCACTTTCTCTCCCCTGCACCGTCCCTTTCTGCCTCTCTCTTGCTCTCCCTCTCTCCCTCCCTCCCTCCCCTCCTTCCACTCCTATTTGTATATTATCTGAAGATTTGTGTTTCAATGTTATTTGATTAGGCGGATCTGTTTTTGTTAGAATGGTTTCTTATTTGGTTACGATTATTATTCAAGGCTTTTATTTGTATTTTTTGTTTTATATGAGAATTATATGAATATTTTTTTTCTCCATTTATTGTTCTAATGCCTATCTCCTCTTTGTCTTTACATTTTTGGTTGGTTTGTTGATTGCTTGTTTAGTGGATTCTTTGTTGATTGCTGGTTTACTAATTTTTATGAAAGTGTTACTTATTTGTAGATTATTATCAATTCTTTCCCTGTCAACTATCTTTGGTTTATCCTTAGCATGGATATCTCCCCCTTTGTTATTTCCTTTCTCTCTCTTTCTCCCTCCCGTTTTTCTCCTCTCACTCTCTCCATCCTTCCTTTCTCCCACCCCCTCTCTCTTTCCTCTCCCTCCCTTCTTCCTGTCTCCTCCTCTCTCTTTCCTCTCCTCTCCCTCCTTCCCCCGTTTCCTTTCCTCTCCTCTCCCTCCTTCCCCGTTTCCTTTCCTCTCTCCCTATCCATCTCTTCCTCCTTTCCTCTCTCCCTCTCCTTTTTCCCTCCCTTCCTATTAATATATAAGGTCTTTATTTTTTGTTTTGGATTAGAAATACGTTAACATTTTTCTCCATTTATCATTCTAGTACACGTTATTATTATTATTTATTGAGCAGTTGGTTTTCATATAGTCTATATAAGGTCTGAATTTTTAGTTTTGGGTTAGAAATACATAATATTTTTCTCCATTTATTGTTCTTTACTTATAGATTGTGAAGGAGTTGTTGTATGTATTATTATGACATTTTAAAACTTGAGCTTGTGTTGAATTGGATGTTGTTATAGTGTAAAATGAGGACATAGCTCTCTCCCTCGTCTCTCCTGCTTTTCCTTCCCCTTTCTCCGTCCCAATTATTGGAGGATTGTGTTCCAATATTATTTGTTATTAATTATATTTGTTTAATTAGATAGATTTAGTTATTATTACTTACAGTGGGCTTATTTCTCCCTTTACTGTTCTGGTACATGTTACAATTATTATTCTTCCCCACCATTTTTTCTCCCCCTTCCTCTGTTTCTCCTTCCTTCCCTCCCTTCCCCGTTTCCTCTTTCTCTCTCCTCGTCTGTCCTCCCTTTCCCATCTTCTACCTCCCTTCCAATGATCCGCCTCTCTGTTTTCCACCCGTTCCTCTTTCTCTCCTTTCCTGCCTCCCTCCCTCCATAATTTTACTTATTAATTTTATTTGAATGGGGAGCAGCTACAGGCCTGTTTTTCCTGCTTTTATATTGATATTTTTTCCTTTGATAAACCGAATGTGAAAAATGAGTTGATAGTAGATGAAGATTGACTTTGTCTTGGCTTCTGTCTTATTGTATATTTGGTATGTATTTTCCTCTTTATTTTGTTCAAAATAATGTGAAGGTAATTATATTTATTGAACTATTTCGCAGTTCTGGATGAGAAATACGATCCTCCATTTATTGTCCTAGTTCTTGCTAGCTGTTTTTGTTAATGTGGAGGGTAACTAGATTGATGTAAGGGAGCGTTGTAGTATTATGATGCCATTTTTAATGTTTAGTTTGTTGGAGTTTGATGTTGTTTTGTTGGTACAATATGCTGTTTAATGTGTGAGGGGAGGAAGCACTTTGTTTCTAATGTCTTTTAACTATTATGAAAGCTTGTAGTGAGAAATTTATTTGAGAATGTTTGGATTAGTCTTTGGTTTGACCCTGTACCCAGTCAAACTGAGTATCTTCCAATTCGATTAGGTCGGGTGCCTGCAGGGATTGGGCCCATTACCATCCCTATAATACATAGCCTAGAGAATGATGCAATATTTATTGCGTCTCATTATTTTATTTTTATTAACATTACCTCTTTCTTGTTGTTTGTAGTTTGAATATTGCCTTTAGTTTGAAAGTTGAAAGGAAAAAGAAAATTGAAATTTAGAATATTTTAAAATTAAATTGGAAAACAGGTTTAAAATTGATTTATATTTATTAAACTATTGTTAGCTTCTTTATTTTTGGATGAGGAATGAATCCCTTCCTCACTTAAATGTTTAGGTTTTTGGGTTCATGTTTTGTTTATGGGTGTCTTTTATCTCTTGTGTTCTGGCTGTTTCTRTGGTCTCTGTCTAGTTTAGGCTATGGATTAAAGTCTCTGGTCTGGGTACCCAGTCAAATTGGGGATTCTTCGATTCAATTGGATCGAGTATGTCTTCTTTAGGAGTTACAGAACAAYGGTGTGTCCTTTTTTAGGCAAAATTAAATTTAATGAAAATATCATGTTTTAACAAATAAAAGTCCAAGGCCCATATAAGCAACCGTATGGGCCTTCTTTACTGAGGTTTGGGCTTTTGCCCATGATCCAATTTTCTGTCATGTCAGTCGTTGTGGAGTATCTTCGTTTTTTAACTCCAACTTTATATGAAATTATGTTATTTTTAAATTTCAATAAATTAATTATATTTCTTTATTACGAGATCATTTTCACGTATATAAAATCTTAAATAAAACTTTATAATTGAATATTTAATTTTTAGACTATCTTACCATTGAAAATTTCATTGAAAAGATCGTAATGATAAAAATCAATAAATCAACAATTAACCATTTTCCATGTTTTAATATTGTGAAATTGTTCTCTTATTGAATAAAAATATTAATAGAAATATTTGATGGATTTTTAATTTCTAATTGTTACAGTAACTGACGCCTTTATGAATAAAATGGAAAACAACCCTAGAATCTCAGTCGGTTAAATTTATTTTTTTTTAACCCCTAAATTTATAGAAGAAGGAGGCATAAGAGACGATAATGTTTAGAAAGGAGAAGGGGGAGGGGAGAGGAGAGGAGGTGAGGGGGTAAGGAAAAAAATAAAAAGAAGTAAGAGGTAGTGGGTTGCGACAAAACAGATAAAAACTATAGCTAGACTATTAAGTTGAAACTATAGCTAGACTATTAAGTTGGAAGAGAAGAATCCAAGATGAAAATTAGGTCTTATTTATTATGAGAGAAAAATTAGGGTTAGAGTTAGGTTTATATTTATATATATATATATAAAATTTAAAAATCATATAAAAGATTAACGTGTCCCCAGCATGTCATGTCCTACTTTTTCAAATATTGACATGTCACCGTGTCATATTTGTGTCACGTGTCCGTGCTTTTTAGCTCTGTGTTATAAGATAAATTTCAATACGATATGGATTATTTTGGCTTTTCCATGTGGTTCCTAATTGCTACAGTTATTTATTTATTATTATTATTATATTCTTCTTTTTTTTTTTTTACTATGTGTTAGCTCACCAGCCATGCCCATATTTTATGAAGTTTCAAAATTGTTATTTTTGGTAAAGTTTTTGGCATTACCATATATCAGATAGTAAGATTTAACCCCATTTAAAAACTATTGTATGAGTTTTTTAAAGCTTTTTTKGCAATGTTTTAATTTCTTGTTACTGATTCCTTAAGAAGATAGAATTGCRTGCTTCAACACTCATTGGTTCAAGAATAATAAAGTAATAAAAACATTAATTTTCTATGTAATGTTGAGAAACAAAAATATAAAATAGTTGTTAAATACTTATATTTTTTAATAAAATTGGAAACAAGAAAAAAATAATTAGAAACGTTATTAAATGGGTCCTAGTTATTGATATGTTAACTTTTTATTAGTTTTTTAATGGGCCGARTGGAACGTATATACAAAGCCCATAAGGTGATCTGTACAAACTCGTAATGTGGGCTTTACAGAACAAATTGGGCTTTAAACAGAAGCCCAAAACGTTAACCGTGTAGCCYGCGTAGCTTGTATCATACGCAAATAATCGTTTCTATAAATAACGAAATCCTCATTGGCTTCTCTTTCAGCATTACCCGCTTACTCTGTTTCTCTGTTTCTCCGTTTCTCGTCAGTCCTCACKTCTCTTCTCCGTTTCAACCTCTAAATCCCAGCCTTTCTCACGCTAGGGTTTCTTTATCGGGATTCGATGCAGTTTTTAAAGTGTAACGTGATCTGATGAGCAAAATTCTGACGCTATTGTGGTTCTTCTGCATTGCAAGTACAGTTCCATCTGTTTTCTTTCGTTGTTTCTCTACCAGGTATTTCATCTTCGATTTTCAGATTCTTTGATTTTTTTGTTAGGTTTTTTATTGTCGCGCACCTTGAAGTTACTGAAGAAGGCTCGTTCACCTTAAAGACGGGATCATCGGATGCTTCTGAATGAATTTGGTTTTGTTTTCTCTGTTTCTGGTTGATTTTCTTCTCTATTTCAATATATGAATTCCAGTTTTCTTTCGCTAGGGTTTTTAATGTTTTTAGGGTTTTCGTATTATGCTTCAATTTGTAATACAATGTGTTCATCTACCTTGCAATATCGTCATTTCATCTCGAATTTTCAGATTCTTTAATATATATTTTTTTAGTTAGGTTTTTATTGTGACTCACTACSCGAAGTTAGTGATGAATGCTTGTGACAGGACTATATGATGTCTCTGAACGGATTTTGAATTGAACGAGATAATACTTTTCGTATCTTGATCAGCTTAGGAAGTCTCTGATCACTGCTAATGCTGTATCGAGCATCTCGAAGTAAACCATCGGTATCTCTTTCGAATTGTGGTCGATTTTCTGCTCGAATTTCAACTGTATCGCTGTTCCTTCAATGGAGTTTTAAGCCTGAACTTGATCAACCACAACGGTAAAATTGATCGAGTAATAGTTCTCAATCTGTGCTTTATTGATGATTCTTAATTAGCTGAACTACCGTTGTGATTGCTATTCCCTTCTCTCTTCTTTTGAACTTCAAAWCTTGCAGAGGAAAGAGGATCGTATGCATTAACAGTGTTTTTCTTAGAAGTGATAACTGACACTATTGAATATCTTAGCCCACAAAAGCTACAGAATCTTCAAATGACTTTAGTTTTGCTATATTTTCTTTTATGATGAACCCTCTATTCCTTGCAACTTATCTTTCAACTACATAATCATTTGAGCATATTTTTAGTGRCATACTTCTGCTCAATATGATCCCAAAATTTCTATTGATGTTTTGCAATCAATTGTTTAATAAAGAACAGGATCAATCGTAGATCCAATTAACCAAGATGAAAGTAGCTTATCTTGTTTCTTTCACCGCAAGTATGTATGATGATACTTTACCTCGCTTTCTATGGATGATTGTTTGGTTTTCAATAACCAGGTACATGCTTTTTTAGTTGACAACATGTAGGTGGATRTTTGAATGTGATTTTGTGGTCGAAGATATTTGATTTACACTCAGAGCATGATGTTATTGTTTGAAGTATTCTACTTTAAAAGGTTTATAAAGAARAATCAAAGAGGTATRTATATTTTCTTTTTATCTGATTAGTTCTAAATTTTGTTTCCCACCATTTCTACTTGTCAAGAAAGATTGATGGCTAAAGTTTGATTTCTATTAATAGCCAGCCATCCTTTCAGACCACAATTTTTCTCCAATAGGGTCTATAATTATCACCTATTTTGTCACTAGAAAATGGGTTTTTGGAGTAAAACGGTTTTCATAAATACTATATAATATGATTTCTATTTAATTTTTTTACAATATAAAAAGAAAATTGAGCTGGTTGCAATTCACGAGGTGTAAAGTGACCATTCTTCCTTTGCAAAAAACGAAGTGACTATTCTTGATAAATAGCTTTATTTCAAATTCCTTTGAAAAAAGAAAAAAAAAACTTTATTTAAAATCAAAAGTTCAAAATTTCAATACAGTCATCGAGTAAAATTTATCACTAATTTTAAACATTTATGGATGAAATTGAAATAAGATTAAATATAAATAACTAAATTGAAACCATTTAGACAAACGGGAATTAAATGAAAACAAGACAGCTCAAAATATTAAAATATATATTTGACTAATAATAAAAGTAATATAGAGGCATAGCTTAACTAATATATATTCCCAACAAAATATCATCGTAAAATTGARTTTCACCCGAACTAAAAAGAATTGTTACGGAAAAAACATCATTAATTTGAATTTCACCCTAACTAAAAAAAATTGTTATGGAAAAAAATATATATAAATAAAGCCTTTAAAATTAAAACCCTCCAAAAAATGAAAACCCATTAAGGTAACTTCCAAAAAATGCAATTTGCAAGAGGCAGCAAGCAACAGATAAGGGGAGGAGGTGAGAAGGTAAACACAGGCAACTTCTACACCCTCTCCGTCGCAACCTTCAATTCCTTCTGAGTTTCCAAGGTACCCATCAATGGCGTACCTCAGGACCGCCATGGATTCTGCCTTTGGAGATTTGAACCTTTCATCCCCTCAAACCCTCGCCGGCACCGCCAAGGCCGTCCCCGGCGACCCATTCCCCCTCGACGGAGCTCGGGCCAGCCGCACACTGCGGGTTCAGCAAATCTCCCTCCTCGGCAATGGWTTTCCCCTCGGCATTATTCCTTCTTACTCGCCCACCGGACACAAGGAGTTAGGTTCATTTTCTCTTCAGTCGCTCTTGCTCAAGTTGCCTGCCGCTGATTGGTAACAACCAAAACCTCATTCTTCTTCGTCTTTTCCGTCTGCGATTATGTGAATTCTTTTGCTACTGAGAAAATTTCTGTATATGTGTGGTTGTCGGAGTTTACTCTTGGTTTAGTTGCTGGAATAATCAACTACACGAAAAACGTCTCGAAATTGAGAAATGAACTCAGCCTCATAGCCTCATTTGGTATTTGCATTCATAACTGAGTTTGTGATCATAAATTCATAGGTTACGGTAGACACTTTTATCGCATGCTACAGTGTCTTTTACGGTCTGTCTTTGATAGTGTTGATTCCTGCTGTTTTCAGTGCTTCATTTTCTCATCCAGTTCCATATGATATGATACATGCTACAAATCCCTTTTATATTTAGTTTTTTCTTGTTTGAAATTTTCTTGACTCCCTTAATTATCTCTACCTTTTTCACCACAATTCGTCAACTTGTATACTCAAGTCATTATTCTACTAWGAATCTCAGTTTATCAACTGATGCTGAACATGTACATATGGTCTAGTGTTGGGATTTTCACACAAAATTGTGGTTTGGCCATCTTGTGCATTCTAGCTTGTTGTTTTTGAAGGAAAAAATGCCCAACACGGGCATATTTACCTCTGATATTGCTTAGATTGCAATTTGTTTCACAAATCTCACGTGTACCATCTAATGGGAATCTTTACACCTATAGGTGGGTTGGGTTAGTCGGCCAATTCCGTCCGAAGAAACTGATATCTTCTATAAAAGCCGAACTTTCTGCTGTAGATAGCCTTGAGCTCCCTGTCTTGAAAGATGTTGCTCTACAGTTTCTGGACAAGTCACTCTATACATATGGTTTATGCTCTCAGTTTTCTCCTAGTCCCTTTTCGTCTCTATTTTTCAGCACTGAAGAGCATGGTGAGAAGAAGGGACGTCGCCACAAAGCAATGTTTTATCACAAGGTGAGCATTGTAGTTTTCCAACTTTCTGAGTTACATTAAATGATAATTAAATGAGAACTATCTGAGCAATCGGCACGGTAAAAGCACCATTTTGCGTATGTATTTTCATTACAAAYTCAGGAGGACCGATATTGGGTATGTATTTTGCAACTGTAGGCCAAGTTACATGTCTGAAGTTCTTAAGCTTCAATTTTTTTTAATATTTAGCCTTTTCGAACTTCATTTTAAGGTATATATTGTTACACAACAGACATGTATGTTGCTTGACTCCAAAAGATTGAACCATTTGTTAACTAATATCTGCAGCTTCCAAATCATGACATTTTTCTGGAAGCAGCTTGGCCTGAGCTCTTCCTTGATCATAAAGGGCAATATTGGGATGTACCCGAGTCTATATCTTTGGATCTTTCATCTCTCAAGTCAGAATCTGGTTTGCGATACCGAGCTGGGCTGCATAAGAATGGTGGCCTTCCCCGGGCTCTTAGTCCTACCAATGGCGACAACCCACCTCTTGCTCTCATGCCTGGATTATGTGCAAAGGCTGCATTCTCTTTTGAAAAGAACAGGTACCTTTGGAGGGTACAAGAACGGAAGGAAGACATGATGGAGAAGACGGACAAGGGGGAACAGTCTTGGAGGTCATCATACGATGTGCGTCTTAAAGAACCTCATGCAGCCATATCTGGAATTGTTGGTAAGTCTGCAGCCTTCTAAATTTGGCTTGCATTCCCCCCTCCTGGGTGTAGCCATTGGAAAATTTTATTTTAAAGATTTATTTTTGCTGCTTGTCTCTTACCAATTATTTGCATATCAGGTGGCACCTTTAGCACCTGGTTCAGAGGCAGCGGCACGATTGGGTCCAATGGAGATGGAAACAAAAGAAGTCCACTGAACGCTGATCTTTTTGGCTCAATTTGCTATACTTTCCAACAAGGGAGATTTAGAAAGCAATTTGGTGACCTTACAAGGATAGATGCTCGGTTAGACATTTCGTCGGCTTCAGGGTTTGCCAAAAGAGTTTTTAATTGTTTCAAGAGATCCATTGATGATCTAGAGCGATCGAAATCTTCCCCCCGTCTCAATTTGATCTTTCAACAGCAGGTAATGTTTGTTATGCATCATAGAAAAAATCAGCTCATAAACTAAACTCAAGATGAGTTTGTTTATTTATTTAAAAAATACATGAAGATGACAAGAAGAATGTGTCWTTTGCAGGTTGCTGGCCCGATTGTCTTCCGTGTAGATTCCAGCCTTATGCTCGATCCTCCCTCTGGCCAGTACCGTCCCCATGTCGAGGACACAATATACAGCCTGAATTATTCATTTAGGCTTCTTAAATCAGGCAAAGCCGTTTTCTGGTATTCTCCCAAAAGGAAAGAGGGGATGGTCGAGTTGCGCCTGTTTGAGTTTTGATAAACGTGGTTTTAGTTCGGTCGATGCATTCGATTCTTACCTCTTTGACAACGAAAATTGACTGCATAGAGTTAGTTATAGCACTTGAGGCCTTTCTTTCCCATCTATTTAGTGTTGCAATACTTGTTTTATGACACASAGCTTCGGCTTTAAACAGTTGTTGCTCAAAAAATTAAGGGCACTGATGATGAATATGTAGTTATTTATCTTTRAATCATTGAACATTGTTCCAAATTTTCTGCTTCAATCTCATTGCATCAGGATCTTTCTGCATTGCAGCATCAGAAATGTCGTTTGCAGCTCCTTGCAGACTCGAGTCCTCTCGAAACCGAACGTTTTTTTCTTTTAAATGATTCAGTTAGCACCTTGACTCTGATATTCTGTGAAGAATGGAAAATTTAATTTTGCCTTTTGCTGCCATCACCAGTTTATGCCATGCAGATGTTCTTGATCTTGTTCGTTCGAGTAATTTACGGTCGATCGATATGCAGACATCGATCTATAGGTTCGATTTTCACTCTACAATTAAAACATAGTCAATCCATTTTCCATAATTGTATTCCCTTCTCCGAGATTCGTTCTTTATCGGTCAAAATATTAGTAGCCTGGAATTTTCACTTTCTTATTTAAATTTTCACTATAACAGAGCATATTTTATTTTCAAAATTCTCATTTTCGAATTTTCTATTTGGATACCAACATTTCGAACGCCTCCTATTACCATTTGAACTTTTTGTATAAATTTCTCTCGTTAGAGTTCAGAACGCTCTAGAATTTCTCTTCCCTCGCGAAATCGTTTCTCCCGCGCACCCCGCTCTACTCCGTAGATTTTTGCTTTCTCGACTCATTTCCATGGCGATGGCGTCTTCGTTCGTTACTGTGCCGAAGCCCTTTGTCGACAGGGCTAATTCACCTTCTGTTTCTTCATGGCGGCAAAAAGCTGGTACACTGAAAATTCCGTTGATAGATTGTTGCATTTTCTTTTTCTCGATCAATTTCTGTCTCATTCCGTCTTCTTGGATAGGATTGCAGAGAAGCTCTTTGAAAGTCAGCGCAGTTTCTAAGAAATATAAGCCTGCGAAGGTTTTCCACTTTTTTCCCCTAAAATATCTTATGCGATTTTAGATTTTTTCTGTCTTATGTGTTATTGAACTTGTGGTCTTGATTTCAATGCTTATTTTTGGCGTTTGATGATGCTTGTGGATTTCAGGTGGTTCCTCAAGCTGACAGAGTCCTCGTTCGTCTTGAGGAGCTTGCTGAGGTAAGCTCAAGCTTAACACGAATGGCGAATGATTTTGTTGAATTCTATAACTCGTAGAGCTTTTTGGATGTGTTGAGAACTGTAAAATGTTCCTAAATTTGAGATGTCTTATTATGCAGAAATCGGCTGGTGGAGTTTTGCTACCCAAATCAGCTGTCAAATTTGAGCGACATCTTGTGGGAGAGGTGAGGAAATCCTTCTGTTGCTGTTGCCATTTTCTCTATATTTTTTCCTGTTAGGTAATGTATTTGACAATCAATATTATATTTCTTTGTATCAGATTATCTCCATTGGAACAGAAGTTGGAGGAAATGATATTGCACCTGGAAAGAAGGTAATTGAGGATTCTTCTTTATTAAAATTTCAGGCCGTAATTAGTGTTACCCAAATTTGGTTTATCTGAAGAAAGTAAGCGTGAGTTTGTAGTTTTTTTAAGGGAAGCTTTTTAATAAGCACATCTGGAAAGTACTTTAAAATGTTTTTASTGTATTTCAAATTTTAAGAACTCTTTTGGCATGGAACCAAACATATGAGAAATTTGACAAGTGCTTTTAATTAGTGAAAAGCATTTCCTATTGTTTGAAAACCATGCCAAATCCACCCTTATTATTATGCAAACTTGTGGGACTTGTTTCTTTTCTAAGAGGAGCAATTATTTATTACCTTGCAGGTTCTTATATCAGACATCAATGCTTATGAGGTAAGTCGTTTGGTTTGGTGGTGTACATTRTTGGCTTGAATATTCTCTCAATTATATTTGGTTCAATACTCCTTCAAAGTATTGGTTACAAAATTATCCATAGYCCTGGGACAGTGTCTCGATCTCCTACGTGTGTGCTATCATCGAGAACGGGGGATTGTAGAAGACTTAGGTTAGTTTATGCGAGTCTTCCTAGAATTAGTTTGGGTTTGAACCAAATTAACTCAAACTTATTATTAATTAAAAATATCTTACTTATGATGTCATTACCTGTGCATACATTTTAATTTATTTTCATTTTATTCAATAATTCTCTTTTGATCTTTCACCCAACAACTTTAAGAAAATGGTGTTGTAGGTCTCTTGGAGTATAGTTTTTCATGAAATAAAATTTGACAATAGACTACTAATTTAAACTCAACGTTTGAAAATCAGTAATCGGATATCTAAGGGACTGACATTTTCACTATTTCTCCTTACAAAATTTTGAACAAATGACCCGGAAAATAGCACGTTTTTTATTCTTTGAAAGTCCTAAAAAGATGGTCGCAATTTCTAATGCTTAACATTTTGCCTATGAGCTAGTTGTCTTGGGATGTTAATTATTTCACCAAATACTGCCATTCTTACTGTAAAGTTAAACTGATTGATGCAGAATTCCCATTAGTGACTCATTAGACAAAAAAAGTAGCAGGACTCTAATTCCAGGGCCATAAGTAGTAAATATGTTTTTAGGGGAAATGTTTGTTAAGCTGCCTAATCTTTTGGCAATGCATCCTTCGAACCTTTATCTTCTAACTTGTATCATGTATGTTAGCTAATCGCTATCACTCATGTCATGAAGTAACTCATGTTCATTTGTTTCTTTCTATAGATTTTTTTCTTCGGTTATTGAATCGCAGGATTAAATGATGGCAGATACTTAATCCTGCAAGTTTTTCAGTGTTACATATTGCAAGGTCTGAGTGATTATCACATGTGCCTAGTCAAGATGCGTGTACCTAGATACGCATAAAAAGAAAAACTGTTTGCAATTAGAGTGATATAACTAATGTACGTTGTTACAATGCTGTAAGTCATGATCCTGAATAGCAAAGTGATCGGGATCGGGATCGGGATCGGGTTTGCCCATGCATGATGGAATCATTGCTTTGTTTAATTTGTTGGTGAGCATTTGACAAACAAATAAACTTCTAAGCACAGCCAAGATTTGGATGATCCATCCCTTGAAACATATTTGTGTGTTGTAATAGATTCATTGTGAATGTTGTTGGTGGTTTCTCAGGTGGATTTGGGCACAGATGCTAAGCACTGCTTCTGTAAAGCTGGTGATTTGTTAGCTGTGGTTGAGTAGAGAAGCTTTACAATTTCTCCAACGCTACAAAATTCAGATCAACATCACTTATTCCACTCAGATTAGTTCTCTCTTTCCTCATTGATTTTCAATTGCTTTTTTACTTTTGAAGTATATCATGTCTTTATACTTTTATTTAAGAATTACCCATCATTGTAAAGTTTCCTCAAAAAAAAAAAGAAAAAAGTGAGACTTGTAAAGAACTCATTAGGAAGAATAGCTTAAATTAAAAAGAATTAGTCAACCTAAATAGTAAACTAAAGGAAAATAGGTATGCAAATAAATCTTTAATTTTTTCTTTTTTGTTCAAGAAAATATATAATATTTTTTTAGGAAAGTAATTTCCAAATATGATTTAGAGGATATTTAGCATTTTATCTTATAGTTTTAGTTGTTTGTTTAGTTTCAGATTCTTAAGTTGAGTCTACTTGATTAAAGGTCATCGAAATTCGCTCTTCGAACTATAAACAAAACATATATATATATATATATATATATATATATATATATATATATAGTTGTGACTTTAGTTCATTTTGGTTCCTATAATTTCAACTTTCGTTCATTTTAATTTTTGTACTCTCAAAATGTCCGTTTTGACTTTTGTATTTTTAAAAAATGACCAATTTGCAAAATAACACAAATTTTATACACAAATTTTTTGAAATGTAACTATAATTTGAATTTAACATTGAAAGAACAAGATAAAAATGAAATGGATCAAAATAATTACTTTTAAAAATATAAAGTCTAAAATAGATGTTTTAAAAGTATATAGATCAAATTAAATACATGATCAAAATAGRGTAGTTAAACCTAAATTATTTTACTTTTTGGTACAATTGGCAAATTTTAAGTTAATTTGGTTGTTTTGTTTTAAACGATTAGAAAATCCTTGTGAAACCCAACAGATCTAACGTAATTTTAATATTCAGTAGTGGTTTGTAATATTCTTAGCTCTTAATTAATAATATCTACAAAATTCCAACAATTGACTTAGAATACTTTACTTGCATGTGGATTTGTTCATCAAATAACCCTTCTACGATTTTCTTTTATCATAGTTTATAGTTTTTATTTTAATAATTAATTTATAGTATTACTTGGATCTACAGTGTTTCATTGAATTTAAGCATCAATATAATATATATATATATATATATATTATATATATGATCTCAATTATAAATTATAAACATCCTTAATTATGAATTTAAATCTCTACAACTTTACTTAGAAATTTGTCAAAATGTGATTGGATAAGGATAATGGTGGCTTTGGCAAAGAACTGCTGGAGCAACCACAACCACCGGAAAGATGACGTCACTGAAACCGGCACCATTTTTGGCCGTATTCTTGGCTCATCGTCTCCAACTGAATCACATGCATCATGCATCTAACGGGTACACTATATCTTTAGTTTTTTCTTTTTCTTTTTATTGAAAATAATAAATTATTTGCAAAGATTGATCCCTCTTTTTACACTATTTCGGAAACCCAAGGACTCAATCGTATGGATATGTAAAATACAGGATTTCCAATCCTAGCAGGAAAGGGAAACGGATACTCAATTTTTCTCTAGATTAATCTTTTTTAATGTTTTATTACAAAACAATAGAAAGATTTTAAATCCTCTTCTGAAATCTTAATCCTTGAACCAGGAATCTTTGAAGTTTGGTATCTATTTCAACTCTCTGGAATAAGGGAATAGAATAGAGATGAAAATGAAAATGTCGACCCACCCGATGTTAATTTTAATATGGTTTAAATGTTATTTGGTCGGTCGTTTTAGTTTTTTCATTTGGTTTGACCTTTGGTCTCTTCAATTTCATTTTTATCTTCATTGATTGGTTTATATCACAATTTTAGCATGACAAATTACTCACTAAGTTTTTTGAAATGTATCTATAAATTTGTATTAAAGGTTTTTTTGAAATGTATCTATAAATTTGTATTAAAGGTTTTTTGTTGTGTATAAAATTAGTATTAGAATTTTGTAAACAAGTACCCAATTGTTTTCTTCTTCTTCTTTTTTTTTTTTTACTAAAATGGATGTTTTTGAAAGTAACCAATTATTAAAATTATTAAAATAGTATTTAAACTTTTTAATGCTAAAAAGGAAACGTTTTAATGGTAGGAAATGAACTTGTAGATTAGAGTGAACAAATAATTTTCAAGATGAGTTTTTCATATTTGTTATTATTATTGAGAATAGAATAGGAACTCCATTTTTGGCATGATAAATCATAGAAGAGAGGCAGAGAGGTATATAGAATTGGAAGCTGCGGTAATTGCAGAGGAAAACAGGTAGTGGCTTGGATTGTTTCCAAATCCAAACCAACTGTCCCAATTCAACTACCTTTTTTTTTTCTTTCAGCTTCTAAAAACCAGTAACCAAACATTCATATTTCCACTTTTTGGCTTTATTAGAAACAATAAAAACTCTTTGCATTTGAATATACATATATGAATTTTAAATTTTAGAGCTAAGATTTTAAATATTGAGATCTCAATTTCATGGAAATATTGTTAATGTCGATGGATTTTAAATATTTCATTTTAAAAATATTAGTATTATGTCCATATTAGTGATGTTTTGTTGATCTTTTTTGCGATTAATCTCACACGGCTCACAGCCATAACTTTTTGGTTCCAACCCCAACTCCCTTTGACATCAAATTTGTCAACCATTCTTCTCTTCTTTTTTTTCCCCTCATTTTATACTATTCTACCTTTGCAAATAATGTATTTTGTTTATTTTCTACTCTATAGAATTACGTTTGGAATTAGTGACCGCTAAACTAACAAAATTCAATTTTTTTTTTTAAGTATCCATTATAGGGTTCATTTTTCCACCATAGGTAACCAAATTAATTGTGAAACTTGCCTATTGATTGAAGTATTAGTAAGCATTGGCTATCTAAGAAAATCATCCAAATGACTCAAAGAATTACAAATTATGAGATAAATTTTGAAATTTATGTTTCAAATTTAATGGACTCTTTTGAAAAATAGCATCAAGCACATTCCCATTTAATGAAATAAGAATAAGTTCTCATGGATTTGCTTATCAGTCAACATTCATTTCTTGCTGTTAAGCTTTCAACAAGCATGAAAGAGAAAAAAAAACGATTTTTTCCCCCTTCAAACCGTCAAGATGAGTGTTGATCCTTATCTATTCACACATAATTTAAGCATTATCAAAAG